TACTGCTAACTTACTGCTACTACTAACGCTATTAGTAGTAAGTAACGTTACTACTAATACATTTATAAACATTTATTCAAATTCAGATTCTGAATTGTGACACTAATACTATAAGGACAACGATGTAATAAACTATAAAAAGCAAACAAAAACCTGAGCTGACTGGGAAGGGTCTTTAAGTTTATGGGTGACAAATCTCTTTTCTTTTCCCTCCATATTGTAACCGACCGCCGCTTCGATGAGCTCCTCGGGACACGTCTCACAAAGAGTCGGGCGCCAGGCGCCGACGGCCGGCCTTAACTCGCCACAGGCCAGCGTTTAACAAATGGCGTTTAACATCACGACAAAAACACAGGCGGTGCCACAGAGATGCGGTTTGAAGCCCTTGCTGGGTTTGCTGTGTGTTTATGTGTGTTTGCTGTGCGTTACTTCCCTGTGTCTGTTACTTCCCCAGTCGGACGGCACAATGGCTCTGGTGTTCGCTGTTTACATTCAGTACATGATTATGTTTGATTTGGAGATCATGTATGTTTCATGTATGTACATGGATGGGATAGGGGCCTGCGCCGACTGTATCCTCCTAAAATCATTATAGCTGGAAGATGAACCTCATTGTTGTATAATATGAGATGAGGGCAGCTTTCTTTCTGAAGGAACCAGAAAAAAAAGGAGAATATGAAAACCGGTTGCTCTGTCTTTGACCGAGATTAGACACTTTGAGGATTTCGTGATTTGTGAGAGGGGAACAAAACGTGATTATTTCTAGTATATTCCAGTTTTTTATTGGGTATGGTATATCTGAGGATGTGGTGGAGAGGGAAGGATAAGAAAGACGTGAGATCGATCCTGGAGATGTATCGATGGAGTGAAGCATGCTGGGATATCTGGGTAGCCGATAACAGACACGGGTATATGTACGTTAATATACTGTAATTACATTCCTCCCTGGCGGTAAGCCCATCCCTTTGTACTTTGTTGGCTTCCTTATCTCTGTGTTTGCGTTTGTTTGTCTCAGCCATCACTTCACGGATGCTCTGACGCGGTTAGATGATGGATGAAGGTTGTCCACAGAAGAGGTTATGAGACCCGGGTTAACAAACATGTTACCCTGAAAATGAGTTACTACTACAAAATATTAGTCTGGCTGAATGGACACCATTCAGTCTCTCCTTTCATTGGTTGACATTCGCTTCCTGAAATGTCTGAAAGGGCATTCGGGTATTGAAGAAAAGCGTAAAAGAAATAAAAAAACATTTTAATTCTCATCTGTTTATTTTCAGACCTTTGTTGCGGAAAAGCTGAAATAAACATCGTCGCAGTTGTCTTATATTTCTGAGGCGAAATAGAATGACAATGTAGTCGTAACACCATTTCACAGCATGGTCCTTGTCCCGTCGGCACGGCGTTAACGCGGGCCAAAATGGCGGCTCGGCGCCACGTGGGCGCCGTTAGCGGCGGGCGCGACGGAGCTCGCAAGGAATGCTGCTTTCCAAATGAAGTGTTTCCGTCCTACAGTAGGCCAACACTCGTCCAGGTCTTCAGAGCTACGTGTCATGCTGGGAAGCTAACGAGAAATGTGTTGTTTTACTTACCCACCCAACGGCCCTAATGGTTTTAATTATCTATTCTCGCTACTAACCTCTGATTTCTGAATAAGTGGAGGGGTTGGTGGGGGGGGGGGGGGGGGGGGGAGAAGAAGACACAAGCCCAAAATACGTAAATGTGTCGTACGACTTTACTTTCACGGTCTAGATGAGCTGGTCCAACAGCAAAAATGAATGAAAAAAATGCAGCTTAGTCTTAAAAGTTTAACATCCAAAGAAATCTTAAAACATAAACTTCATGAGGTTATGTTTTAAGAGTTTTTGAGATGCCTTTTATCTCGTAATGCGGTGCTGGAAGAGGGAATTTTTATTCACAATTAAATGGTTCAAATGGAGGAACATGATAGACAGTTAAAAAGCGAACTTGGGGGAAAATTGCTATTTAGTTTAAAAGACAAAAATAAAAAGCAAGAAGAAAGAAGCGTATTGCAGACAAGGGCTTTGGGGGAGGGAGGGGGGAGGAAGGGGGGAGAAAGACGGGGGTGAGGGGGGGGGGTGGGATGTGCTTCTCACCGATGTTTAAGGAGACCACTAAAGTCAAGTTCCCCTGCATCGTCTTGTCCTTCACTGCTGTTGTTAACGAGAAGAGATTAATGGAGAGTCATTCAGTCATCATCAACAGTCACAGGCGAGTTTCTAAAGCACAATGCGGTCCGGCGCAACGCAAAGCTAAAAGCTCTGGGCTCGATCGCCGCGGTTACCGTGCGATCGGGAACGTTACACGAAAACCATTTTGATGTTTGGGTTTTTTTTTGTTCGGGACAAATTGGTTTTGTGTAACGGACGTCCAGAGCTTTTCTCGGGCGGTGTTTCGTCGCACGATGTCCCTGCAATGTGCACAAAACATTGAGGCGGACGCGACGAAACTGTCCTGCTTTGCGTTGCTTGTTTTTAGGACACATTGTTGGGGGGGGGGGGAGGGTGGGGGAGGCGGGAAAGAAAGGCGGGAAAATGTGAAAGTGTTGGCCAGCTTTGGTTGATTTTGTGATTACCTTTACGAATAAAGGTTAATGACATTTTTTGCAACCATCTATTCACACAGATACACTACTATATACAATAATGCGACATTATTGGACGGTGACAAATCTGAATATGATGGGAATATGATGATGCCCCCCCGCTTTAAAAATGGGGCGTTCCTCATTCCTCTGCACAGTGCGATGGACATTTAGTAGGATTAAGGAACCGTCAGACTATCGTTATCTGAATGCCGTCATCCCAGAAAACACAGTTTCTAGTATGCATCGCGTGGTGGGGCCAAAAGTCTATAATATAAATGTATAAGTCTAAATAAACACAGATAAAGGAGACTTAGGAGGAGGATATAATGTTATAGAGACAAATCATCTGCCTTGTGTTTTGCGACTGCTCTTGTTACCTTCTCTTGAAAGCCGAACGAATGTCAAAATTCTGTGAGCCCTGTTCGGCTTCTGTAACACAATCATAGAAAATACATTTTAATACTCCACTTCTATGATTATTATTATTAAAGGTGCTGTAGGTAAGAGTCAAGAGCTTCGGTGAGTGAAATGCTAATTGGTTGGCTAATTTCTGACCAATTAGGGCATCTCTTGATCCCTGATTGGTTCCATCTTGCCTGTCAATCACAGGTGTGTGAAATGCAACACTTCCCATTTGCGGAGAAATGTAGGGATGGAGGGAGTTGTTTAGTTTAAAGGTCTTGCTGATCTTCTGCTCTTTCATGCTCTCTCTCTCTCTCTTTACGACTCTCAAATCGTACCCACAGCAGCTTTAAGTCTACATGTTGCGCAATACAATCACAGTGAAGGGTGACCAACCTCTCACTTCCAGATCAAAGGAGCAGCTGTCAAACTTGTCCTTGTAGTTGACCTCACACCTGTAGTTCCCAGCGTAGTTCTCCTTGGCCTTGATGATGTGCATCTCAAACGTGTGAACCTGGAGGAGGGGAGGAGTGACTGTAACTTATATGTTGGTTCAATATTTAGGGACCGGTTAACTCTGAAATTAAAGGGTAACAATCTTGCTTGGCTATTTTCCTAATATAAGATCAGAGTAGTACTGCTTCATACATTGCGGACATGCAAGCATCCTGCAACATCAACTCTCTTTCCACAAAAATTGTGCAGAAAAGTTGGACTATTGACGTCATTGGTTTGGATTTTAACAGGCGAATATAGCTTGGTTCCCCTTTGAGCAACTGTTGCTGTATGATGCGATGTATTAATCCTGGACAGGAAATTCAGGTCAATTGAAAACCTTATTGCATTTCTTGGTCTGATCATATACTGACACAGTACCAGTTGACTAAAATCATATCTAGACACCTGTAGATAATGGCCCAATGGTCCCTTGTACCTTGGTGAGTCGGTCGAAGGTCTCCTTCAGCTGCAGGTGTTTCCCTGTCTTGCTGGCCAGGTCCATCCATTTCCCTTTGAACCACTTCACAGTGGGTTTACGCAGAAGGTCTTTGGCCTCCACCTTGGCGATGAAGCTGATGTCAGCACCTTGGACACCACGAGGAAAAACACACACACACGTGTGTATGACCAACCACAACCAGAACTGCTTCTGTTTGTCTTCACACTTTCCCAGTCTGCCTAATGGCCAAAATTTCACTCATTTTGTGCCGCTTTTCCATTAGCGCAGGAACAGTTAGAACTAGAGATCTGGATCCAGAGTATGGGTCCAGAACCTCACAAAATACATAATTTGAAAACCACCTAGACGCTGTTAGAGGGACTTCATGCTGGTCTCTACTCACCCACGTCGACAGATCCTCCCATGGGCTTCTCGATGAGCAGGGTGGACAGCGGCGGCATGTCGATGGGCTTGTCCAGGTCCTCGGGGGCCTGGCCCTCTCCCAGGGACCACACTGCTCACAGAGGAGAGGGATCATGCACACATCCATCATACACAGAGGCAATCGAACACAGATAGCCAGAGGTGGACCTCCGGTACAACCGAGGAAGAGGAGTTCAAGTCATGTAGGTCGTAGTAGGTACGTTTTTTTTTCCACCCACCTCTCACCGCTTTTATCTGGATCCTGACCAGAAGGTAGACGCAAGGACCGACCAAACACATCTTTCCCCACAACTCAACCATCACAACCCATACATATAGCCGCTCGGCTTGAAGCTCTTTGCAGACATGGAAAAGCATGGATCACATGATATGAAACACAGAACTTACAATGCTAATGCAGGTTCCTCTGTATTAGCAGACCTGCAGGGTTCCTCCTGCAGGTTCCAGACCTGCAGGAGGAACCCTGCAGGTCTGACTTTCTTCATGTTCCTGAGGTCCATATCGCCGGTGTGGATCTCCTCACAGTGTTGAAATTCCTCACAATGAATAAGTATATATATATAGGTAGGATAAACTTAACTAGGCGTTGAAAGAGCCGGTCCTGGAGGTGGTCCTGACTCGCTCTTTTGGTAATAGAGCATGGCATTGTCGATGCCGGGGTTAGGGGTTCGATTCCCACTGGGACCACCCATGCTAAAAATGTATGCACTCATGGTATTGAAAGACGCTTTGGATAAAAGTGTCCACCAGATGGCATATATATTATTATTATATATGAGCTGAAACTCCCTGCCATTCAGATAAAGCTAAATCCTAGTTGGACGTGCCAATCTTTGGAGATTAGTATGATGTTTCTGGATCAATCTTGAGCCAACTTGAAGTTGCAAAATAATAATATAACAGAAATATATTTTCATCCATTTTCAAGTGGCTATGGAAGAAGAAGATGGAGAGTTTCCAGAAGCCCCATAGCATCTTACAAGCGTTTGGAAAGGGAGGGATGGTTCTGCTATGGGGGTTTCAAGAAATCATCTAGTCTCTATCCTATCAGGCTGGATCAATCAGACTGATCAGGACCAACTGGACCAGATGTTTGGGAAGATGGAGAAGGTGGCGTTTCACAAGGAGAGATACAACAGGCTTTATAAGGTGGCTTCATGTTGGAAGTAAAGTATATATAATATATTTTTGGGTGAAATATTTGTTTCAATTTTGGCTTATTTTGCTTACGTTAGTTTAATTCTTTTGTTTTGTTTTTTTGTTTTTACCTCTTGCTATTATGAATTTGTGTTACCTGAGTCTTTCCTCCCCATTGCTGGCACAGTGACGCTATCATCTAAACAAGGACAGAGAGAAATTTACAGCATATTATATGAGCAATAATACTGTAAAATCCAGAAGCATGCAGGCACAGACAGACAGCAAGACACACGCTGGACACACCGCAGAACTCAGAAGATGAATAAATGAAAATATATATATATTGACTTATATATATATATGTCGTTTTAGTCAGTTAGAAACTTTTATTTTGGCAGATTTGTACTGCTATAAATGTGGGGTCTGCATGTTTCGTAAGGATCTCAGTCTGATTCTCGTATTTGTCAGTTTGTCAGTTTGTTAACATACAAAGATGAACTCTAAGCGTCACATTTAGAAATATAGAGATATATAACATAATATATATGTAAACTATCTGTTGGTGAACCGTGCGTTGGAGCGAGGGTTACAGGGAGGCTTACTAGGCAGGTCAATAGAGAGTTTCTTGACTGAACTGCCGTCTTCTGTGAAGGAAAGCACACATTATCCCAGTTACTCCACCTGGACTCCTGCTGAGCGGACGGGATGCGCAGTGTTGTATTATATTAAACATTAATCTGATTAAAGTCCATTAAAGTAGATTAAAGTAGTTGTATATGTAAGGGATAATGCCCGACGAGGTGTCCGTTAACATAAATTAATGGACGTCCATTAATTTCTGTTAATGGACACCTCGTCGGGCATTATCCCGCTTATACCATGGTCACTTACGAAAGAAAGTAATATTTAATCCATTAATAATACTTTAATGTGTTTTAGAGTTAAAATCGTGAGGGTTTTTTTTATTTTTACAAGTTGCGCGGACTATTTAATATCTCCCGTATGCAGGCGTTGCCAAGCAACGTGGCCATAGCGTCTTCATAGCGTCAATGTCTTTCCTAGGTGTACATTACGTAACACTTTTTAACCTCCACCCTCCAGCCAATCAGAATCGAGTATTCACCAGACCATGGTATAAGTTGATATATTTATATATGGCCATTAAAAGGGAACACCTGTAAATGTGGTGTTGAAAGCAGAACAACGTTTAGGAGTATCTAGTCGTACTTTCTGGAATAAATAATGAAATGTATTTATATATATAATGAGTGTCGCAAAATAAGTACTTTGGCTCTTTTGGGGTATGGCGCAAATTGTATTTGCGTATATAGGCTGTATTCGGCCATATATTTTTAAGTGAATTATGTAGGGGATATTTAATGTCATTATAGTATTGAATTTATTTAACGGCTGTTCAGTTCAAAGCTGAATAAATTAAAACTCATTTTGAACTCTGTAGTATTCCCTTTGGGGGTAAAATGGCCTATACATTATAGATGTATATGAATGATGAATATAATAACCATAAAATCATCCAATTTCTGAATAATTCATCATATGAACATGCCTGCATCATATATATACATCTACTGGTCTTATCCATCTACGTCCATTTATTTATGGTATTAGATTGTAGTTAATGTGCTTATTAATTAAGTATTTATTAAGTCTTTTTTCTTCACACAGGGGTTTGCGCACATGTACTTAATAATGTATGTGTCCGAACAGAGACATACATCACACCAGTCCCATGTTTCACTTATTATAGTTTTTAGTTGAAAAGGTTTGTTTTTTAATGGTGAGGTTACACAGACGAAGTTCCCTGATTCCCTAATTGCTCATTATTTCTGTTTTTCCTCATCGTGGGGGGGGGGGCGACCTTTAGCTAGAACTACAACCGACCAGCGAGAAACTACAACTACAACAAAATGGTCGCCGCTGGTTACCAACCTGCTGGAGGCGTCGGAGACTGGGCGGTACCGGCGTCGCCGTCGTCCTCCTTATCTGCAATAGAAGCGTGATTGACACAAGAGACCCACCTATCACAACGGTCCGAGGTCCGAGTCAGAGGCGGGACCAACGCAGACACAACAAGACACTGGCGGCAGGCCGACAGCAAGGCAACAGGTCAACAACCCTGATCTGCACTCTGTCAGGAGAGCACCCTTTCCTTTTGGTCCCGCCATCTTGTTTTAAAATAATATACTATTAAAATGTTTTTTTAATAGTCTTAAATAGAGAAAAGTCCCTTTTTATGGAGATGCTCCTAACATAAGCCTTAAGGCCGGACAGTCGCCTTGTGGTAAGACTGCATATAAAAGAAACCAAATACACTGTGATCACTCTTCTTACTTCATGAGATCAAATCGTTGTTTTTCATTAGCAATATATACATTTGAATGACAGATTTAGATCTATGCCTAAAGCCCAACCCCCAAAAATCATCAGTATTATTATTTTACAGTTTTTTACAAGGGCTGTGGTTTTGATATTGGAAACGCTAGAAGAATGGCGTGAGCTAAACTGTACTCTGATGACAGAAAGCAGTTGAGTTTTGCCCCTTTTCTGGCCATCCTCTTCTATGTGTGCAGGAAGTACGCGTGTGCGTTTGTGAGCCATACATCTGTGGCGTGCAGAGCTCGACGCCCGAAGCTCGAAAAACTGGCGCCACACGTGTCGTGCGCACATCTCTCCCGGCGCCGCCGGCGAGAGAGGACATGCAGACGCAGCAGCCGTGACAAATCCCCAGCGGATGCGCAGCGGCCATAGAGAGACGCAGAGATACCGGATGCTGGTCTGCAGTGCGTCCGTCTCACAGCTAGCGGTACTCACCTCCGTGTTACACGTGTCTACATGTATGTAATATATGTAACATACATGTACAAATACAATCCCAGGTACACAGGTGTGTGTGTGTGTCCATGTGTGGCTTCATGCAGAAATGTATGCTTGTGTGTCTGTGGGTATCCCTCTGTCTGTCTGTCTGTCTGTCTGTCTGCCTGTCTGTATCTGTCCATCTGTTCATCTGTCTGTCTGTCTCTATCGGTCCATCTGTCTGTCTGTCTGTCTGCCAATCCGTCCGTCTGTATCCATCTGTCTGTCTGTCTGTATCCACCTGTCTGTCTGTCTGTCTGTCTGTCTGTCTGTCTGTCTGTCTGTCTGTCTGTCTGTCTGTGTGTATCCATCTGCTTGCCTGTATCCGTCCGTCCGTTCGTCTTTCAGACTGTGTGTATCTATGTGTCTGTCTGTCTGCCTGTATCAGTCGGTCCGTCTGTCTGTCTGTCTGTCTGTCTGTCTGTCTGTGTGTATCTGTCTGTCTGTCTGTCTCGAGATCCTGGATGATCCTGACTCACCTCTCACCTGGTTTTCCATTTCATTGCTTCACCAACAATAACACTTAGCTGCACCCTGCTGTGAGGGTATAGGTACCTAGGAAGTAGGTGGCTAGGGAGGTACCTAGGAAGTAGGTGGCTAGGGAGGTACCTAGGTAGTAGGTGGCTAGGGAGGTACCTAGGTAGTAGGTGGGTAGGGAGGTACCTAGGTAGTAGGTGGGTAGGGAGGTACCTAGGAAGTAGGTGGGTAGGGAGGTACCTAGGTAGTAGGTGGGTAGTGAGGTACCTAGGTAGTAGGTGGGTAGGGAGGTACCTAGGTGGGTAGGGAGGTACCTAGGTCCTAGGTAGTAGGTGGCTAGGGAGGTACCTAGGTAGTAGGTGGCTAGGAAGGTACCTAGGTAGTAGGTGGGTAGGGAGGTACCTAGGTAGTAGGTGGGTAGGTAAGAAGGTAGGTAGGTACCTAGGTAGTAGGTGGGTAGGTAGGCACCTAGGTAGTAGGTGGGTAAGAAGGTAGGTAGGTACCTAGATACTAGGTGGGTAGGGAGGTACCTAGGTAGTAGGTGGGTAGGTAAGAAGGTAGGTAGGTACCTAGGTAGTAGGTGGGTAGGGAGGTACCTAGGTGGGTAGGGAGGTACCTAGGTAGTAGGTGGCTAGGGAGGTACCTAGGTAGTAGGTGGGTAGGGAGGTACCTAGGTAGTAGGTGGGTAGGTAAGAAGGTAGGTAGGGAGGTGGGCATGAAGTTAGGAGACCAGGTAGGAGGTAGGATGTGTGTAGTCCTAGGTAGGCGTCTAACTAGGTGGGTTAGACCTAGACCTGCGTCTGTTAGTGGACTGTACTTACCGGTCGCCACAGGAGACCCGAAGTCCGCCTCCACATCGTCCGGGTTACCAGACCCGGCCTGTGGGGGAACCCTGACCTGTGTGACGGGGCCCGGCTCCTGGGCCCCCAAGGCCTGAACCGGCTCCTGGGCCCCCAAGGCCTGAACCGGCTCCTGGGCCCCCAAGACCCGAACCGGCTCACCGTCCCCCCTGGTCTCTGGCTTCCCCTCCTCCGCTAGCGGCTCTGTACAGCAGACATACAGCAGCAAGCATGGCAGCCCAGCCAATCACAGCTGGCGCTCAGACAGTGGGGATAAATATACGGATGACCAGATAGGCGGAAATTAATGAGGACTATGAGGTCATCAAGACCCAGAGCGGACATTTTAGGTGCTGA